TTTATTTTAATTATAATTAATAATTTGTTACATTTAGCAATATAGAACAATTGTACGTGCTCTGCAAGTAAGCCACTCAAATGACTAAAATGAAGAGATTTACTGATATAAGAATCAATCAATCAACTATTATAGATAAATTATATGGAGAGAAAGATAAAACTATTTAGAACATAATAGTCCAGTAAAAGTACCTCGTCCTCGACCCCTTCTACCACCTCTGATAAATCTTTCTGGAGGTCCTTCATATCCGGGTGGTGGAAAATTAGAACTAAATCCGTCAATTCGATCAGGAGGAATTCCAAACCCTTCATCTCCAAACGAAGGACCTTGAACCAATAATTATATAATTAAAAAATTGATTTAAATTATTTGTTTGCAGTCTCACCTCTAAATGGAGGTTTATCAGGTGCAAAATGACACGGACCGTCAGGCCTAAAGGAGTCCGGTCCTTCAGGTCCAAAAGCGCCGAAAGAGCCTAATCCATCCCCATCAAATGATCTCGGTCCGCCAAAGCCGAATTCTTTAGAACCACCAGTTTCATATCTTTCTCGACCAAATTGCTTGGAATCTTGCAAATCAGAACCCAACTCAATTCCTCTTGACGAGGTCAATAACTGTAGACTATCTTCATTTTCATTGCATGGAGTAACTGATGATTCATTATTGCCTTGAGGTACTCCTTCGTTATTTAAATCAGCTGATTTATTATCGGGCGGACTTGGATTTCGTACTAAATCCGTGGATGATCTATCTTCTCGTCCGGTCTCAGGTGGTAAACTTGAAAAAATGTCTTCTGAAACTAAGAAAAGCTTTATTACTCCGATGCAAACAAAATAAGTAATATAGTAAGCACATTGCTGTTTGACTAAATATCGGTTGAATTTCTATCGTTCCTGAGTTCAGCTCAAAAACGTAATCATACATTATGTTGCATTTCGCCTTACCCATTAAAAGCGACTAGCACAGTCATTGGCGAAAGAGACTCAATTACATTAATAATAAAATTATAAATTCATCAAATATGTGGTATGAAATTGTAGCAATTTTTTTAATTTTTTCGTCAAATCTAATGCTTTGATTTGTTTTCTATGTAATTCACCTCATTATGGTGATTTCATTTATGGTAATTGCCGTTCTATTACTTTCGACTTTCAAATGACGAAGAAATCAGTTGAGCAGAATTCAATGCTTTAGAATTTCATTTTTTGATTGAGCTCCCTTAATAAAGGCCCTTGCCACCTTAATAAAGGGTATGGTAAATACTGAGTGGAATAAAGACCAAAAATGGCAAAAAGCCAGGTTTTCGTTTTTAATAGATTGCTTGCTCCGTATTTGGCAAAAGCCATCAGAAAACTATATTTACAATCTGAACGATTATGAATGACCTTACAGGAACAGTAAATTAAGATGTTCTATGTTAGAAATTTTTGTACCATAAGTTCAGAGATGCAGTGTTTCTCAATAGAAAAATAGAGTAAATCATAGTGGTTTCTCAGGTTACTAGTACCAAAAATGTGTGTTTTAAACAAAATATTTAGCTTGTGGCGCAAAGCGAGTATTAAAAGATTCCTTACCACTAACAGGTGGTTCAAAACGTAATCCTCCTTCCTTTGGAGAATCAGCTTTTGCCTCGGAAGCTCCTAGATTTCGGGGAGAAGCTTTCCGTTCGCTTTGATCCGCCGCGTTATCGAAGTTAATACCTAAATTAATAGTTTAGTTGCATTCTTAATCGATAATAGTATAAATACATAAAATAAATAAATATAAAAAATAAGAAAAGCATACCAGCCATTTCTTTAAGTCGGTCATTAAGTGTTTTTGATCTGTCATTTTTCTCTCGCGTATCAACAGAATCTCTCCGTTCAGTAGATCGAGCCGCATCTCTCCTCTCAAAAGAATCGTCTCGTCTATCATTTGTATCACGTCGACCAAGAGGACCTGCGCGGCGATCATAACCACTATCTCGACGATCCGACGAACCTCGGTCATCTCTGCGATCTACTGCACCCCATCTGAAATAAATTAAGCAAAATCGCAAAATTAACATCACAGCCCTAAATATATACAAACTTCTCAAAGGAGATTTACCTATTAACACGATCTCTGTCGCCCCCACGGCGATCTCTATCTCGGCCGCCTCTGCTGAAATCCCTGTCTCTATCTCGACGCTCGCGATCACGTGCTCCATTTCTATCCCGGTCTCTAATGAAAAAGAATCCAATAAAAACATATATTTTAAATATGTATTAAAAAAATTAGTTCAGAATCTTCCGGATACCGGCAACATATGGGAACACCCACGGAACTTTAATATTCGCTGCATCTCGTTAATATTTCTTTCTATTTAACATTACCTGTTTTGATCTCGTTCCCTGCTCCTACTCCTCCTCCGACCTCTTTCATTGCTGCGATCTCTCTTGTTATCTCGTCCATCTCTCCTGGAAGGTGAGAAGCGAGAGTCATCTCGCCTGTTGTCTCTAATAAAAGGGACATTCAGTGCAGCTTGAAGCTGATCGCTCAATGCAATATTTGGTGGCGGTTTGTTCAAGTCCGGATGTACTAAAATTACAAAAAGTAAAACTTGAGGCTACTGGATATGGATTGGGCTATTGTCGAGTCATAGATTGTCACCCACATTTCCCCGCCACGGTGTTTCCAAAATTTAAAACTCAATCAGTATTAAATCACACAGTGATGGGAATCAGTTAGAATTGAAAGGAAGCAGGTGTGGGCACACTGAAGAAAATCCAATCAAACGACATATTTTTTTTTGTAATAAAGTGTATATTGAAGTGGTAATCAGTTAGAATTGATTGAAGCCAGTCAGCAGCCCTAATTAGAAAAACACAGCTATCAAGCAGGTTTTTTGGAGTAACCAATACTTAGAACCAATTTTAGGATGATAATGGATTTATTCAAACTAAATGAATAAACAAAAAAATCGATTTGACTGCTATACGGGCGGATTTTTTTTCAAATATTTGCACTAGCCTATAATCAGTGCGTGAATGAATAAAGTTTTTGTGTTTTATTTCTTTATTTACAAAATTTATTATGGTTACCTACAATACAATAAAATTGTATTTGTCTAAAAATTAGTTTTTTATGTTTATTTAAAGCTATTTGTTATATTTATAGAAACTATTACATGCGGCTCATGTCGGAGTATACTTCTAACAATAGCGTTCCGAATACCACAAATAAACTTCACGAGTGTTTTTTGGAGAAGAGCGTCAAGTTTCATAAAATGACAAATGGTAAGTAATTTGACTTGATTTTACGTTGATAAGATTAGTCGGCGATCTTCTTAATTGCATAATTTATACTCAAATTATAATTGCGTTATTAGAATGTGTATAAACCTATCATACCTGCATCTTCCATTTCAACGTCCATACTATCGTCCATAAGCGAATGCAAAGGCGGAGGCGGAAGATGCGTTGGAAGTTGAGGTGGTAAACCCAACGGTTGCCCCGTCAAGTTCATTAAAGACTCGCTCAGATTACGCAGTTTTACATCTGAGGAAGGTTGTGCATTTGGCTTTTGCTCTTGCTGCTGTGGAGGCGGCATTCCAGGCGGAATAAACCCGGGAGGTCCTAAAATGACAGACCAAAATATATAAAACAATTTAAGTTATTTGAAACATCAATTTTAACATTTTTCATTTGTATGACTAACCTTGAAAAGGCGACCCGACTCCTAATCCCAAATTAGACATTATAGAAGGAGGTGCCATATTGGGTGGCGGCACTCCCAATGGCAAATTAGCCAAGTTTGCCATGTTAGGAATCATGCTCAAAAATCGGTTATTCATTTGAAACGGATTTACCATAGAGAGCATTGGGGGTTGCATGAGACTAGAAGGTGGGAGTGGAGGAGGCTGGCTGGTATCGATTGTTGAATGATTAGATGTGTCACCAGCTAAAACAAGATAAAGCACGGTTAAACCAGATTACAACACTTTCAATTTTATAACTGTTACCTCCCATTAAAAATGGTGTCAAATCTGCAACTTTCTTCTTTGCACTTTCTTCAACTTTCATCTTCATCCAATCAGGCATAGAATCTTCATCGATCATACCTGAAAAGAGTGATCATAAGTTAAACAAAAGAACAGATAAACAAGTTATAAATTAGCTCCATACCACCGTCTTCCAAAGCTTCCAAATCCATGTCTGGCCTAAGTTTGTTATATGGGATATAAGACACTCCTAAATCACCTTCCCAATAATCCTTTAGATCTTTGCCTTTCACTCCCTTTCCAGGAGCCCAAGCAATCTAATAGAAAGATGAGAATTGCAATTAATTAACAATACATTTAACTTTTGAAAAAAATAGGTCTAACTGCTTAAGCCCGTGTCCCACGCATCCGTTTATACGATGGTACGATGATACGAAAGTGTCTCTTTGGTTGGAGATATGTTAGTTCGTACGACCGCGGACGAATGACTTGAATTAATCGCTCTAAAATATCGACTACTTACCGTTATGGCTTTTCCATGTAGATTATAGTTTTTCAATTTTGCAAGACATCTTGCTGCGTCTTGCCTCCGATGCATAACAATAAACGCACATCCTCGAGGTGATATTAAATCGATACTCACAATATCACCAAATTCGCCGAAGGTATTTGACAGATCATCTTGGTGAACTAATTTGGAAAGATGCCCCACCCACAAAGTAGTGCTGCACACTGAAAACCCATGCAAAAGTCATATAACCAATTACAACTACATTTGATTTAACTTGCCGCTCAAATTGTTGCTTTTCATAGCAGGTAACCCTCTTTTTTTTCGCTCCTTGTCCTTTTCTGTTTCCTTTTGCTTTTCGCGCTTCTCCTTTTCTTTCCTATCTTTAGATTTAGACCTATGCCTTCTACCCCTATAACAAAACAATATATATACATAACATAAAAGATAATTGCAAAGACACTAGATTCGATATATTTTTAAATTTTTCTACTTTACCTAGATCTAGATCTACTTCTCGTTCTTCGTCGTCTGTCTTTTTCTCTGCCTCTATCGCGTGATCGTGAACGGCTTCTTTTCCGTTTGTATCGTTCATCTTCTGAATGTGAATCATCATGATCCAAGTTGATTACCTGTAAAATTAAAAATATTAGATTAAATATACCATTTTCACAGCTCAAATAACAAAGTTACTTCAACTTCATTGGTGACAGGCTGACTACCATAAAATGTATTAGTATCATTCTGGATTTCGTATCCTTGTCCTATTTGGATCTCTGGTTGAGGTGCAATGAAATGAAGCCCCCCGATCATACTCGTCGTTGAACTTAACTTGAAGTCACACTCGGCTGCGAAAGGTAGGTTCTGCAAAAAATTAATAAATTGTTTGCGGTTTTCGTAAATATGTAAAAATCGCAAATAAACATCGATTCTTACAGGCACAGTTTGAGCTAAACGTTTATCAAATTCATCTTCTTGCAGCTTCATTTCATGTAATTTCTTCATTCGGTCATTCTCTGATTCTACAGACGGTGGGTTCACAGCGCCTGCCAATGTGCTTTGCAGTGTCTGAAGTTGCCTCAGCACTTCTGGATTAGTCAGAAGGCTGAAAATAGTTTCAAATGAACAAAAATATTCAGCATATATTCAGTATCTTCGACCAACCTAGCTACTGGGTCGGCAGATGATGAACCGGACTGGGTCGGTCTTGGACTGGGATTTACTTCTTCCTCATCATCGCCATAATCAAAGTCGAGAAGTTTTTTGTCGAAATGCACTTGCTCAGCCCTGACCGTAGCAGCGTCCGCTCCTTTGGATAGCAAACGTTGAAGATGCTGCAGTTGTTGCAACACTGGATCGGTTAGGTTCTGCAAATAATTAAATGTTATGCAGACATTTGTAAATGTTTATGTGTAATATACGCATGCCATAAAATAAATAGGTTTCAATGCCATGTCTAAATAAGTTGCTCAATTATCTTATACTTAAACACATAATATACAACAAACACTACTTTACATAGTCAACAAAATAGTTTCAAGTTAACATTACTTGCCTTATAATTATACAAAACAATTAAATAAACCGTGTAAGTTAACTAACTCATATTAAAATATTTCATAGTTCAATAATTTTTCAGGTGAAAGTTGCATTTAGGATACGCATGATTATGAGATTAGTCTAATTTAAACTTCAGTTTCAAAGGTAGAAATATTTTTGTCAAAGTTTAAAAAGTATACGTTTGTTATATAATAATAAGTTTGTTATGTAATAATACTCGCATCGATTTCAAAATATTCGCACTTGATAATTAAAATATTATAGTATAAAATGCAATGAACAGAAGATTCTAAATATTAAAAGAATGATTCCAACTCCTTTGGCTGCTTTTTCTTTTGGCAACTGATAGCAAATACATGGAGAATACAAAAAATTTGGTAAAAGTAGCTAAAAGTAGCAGGTTGGTCAAATTTATTACATTTACTGAAGACCATAGGAACAGTTGAGATTTCATAAAATAATTGGTATTATAAGACGAAGAATAAAATCGTATAACAACTCGAATAATATTTCACAACCCGGTTATAATAACAATAACTCACAATTCTGAGAACTAGACACACATTTTCGACTCGGCTGAATATTATCGGATCTAAAAGTGAGCGTCTTGCAAATTCGTTACTCTGTGTAATAACGAACTGGTAGTTTTTTCCATTGCAATTATTTAAATCAAAATAAAAATTATGAAGCATCTACATCTTGCCGATGAAATTTCAATCGGCAAATTGCGTGAATTTACGTAAAACATAAACAAGGATTACTTTTTAATGTTAATTATCAAGTAGTAATGAGTTTATTAGGGAAATGATTTGACCAACTTGAAATAATAAGATTAAATCGACAATCCTCATAACTCATAAAACTTACTCAAGTTTTATATCGACAAAACTCATAATAGCCTCAATTTGTTTTAAGTCGGTAAAACGAATTTAAAGACAGATAGTTAAAAAAAGACAATTAACAGTTTTTGCAATGTGGGAAAATGGTTTTGGCTCCACTGATATTCCTACTCAAATTTCGGTTTTGAAAATGTCTGCCTAAGATTCAAGAAAACGTCAGACAGAAATCCAAACGAAAACAAGTTTTACACATGGAGACACCAATAGTTAAAGGATTTAGTTTGCCTGTTAGATATTCGACATAAAAGATTTAATATTTTTAAAGTTAAGTGGGCATATACGTCAGGATAACCGTTTGGCATTTCAAAGTGCGTGTTTTTGAAAATAACCGAAATAAATAGTTCAACTAAGTTTTGCTTCAGATCACATACAACTAAACTTCCTGTTAACTTCTTACATTCAGTTAACAGGTCTATTTCGAAAACTCTCTGATCCATTATTCAGATTGTGGGCTTAAAGCTAAAACTGACCAAGTCTAAAATATCGGGACTTCGTCAGTTTTTGCAGGCAAATATTTTAGTTTTTTAAATTACTTCGACAAACACAAAAACGGCAATTTTGGACTTGGTCACTTTTAGCTTTAAACCCAAGATATACAATAAAAAATATTTGGTTGGGTATCAGTTCAAGTTGTTTAGATCAACGGATAAATGAAAAAACCTGAAAACTCAAGAGAAACAATACAGCGTCAATTTTACAACAGTTCATTCATATCGTAGATACCTTATAAAGTGAATGAATTTATATAATATTACATGAGAGGTAAAGTAATTTTAATCCGAATATGCTTCAGAAGCTCAAATTGGTAACATAATATAGAAGGAACTATAAACAGACAATTGTATCTTATGGATAAGTTTTCAAGCTCATTTAGAATGCACTTGCTGTCGAGTTGTTCACTTCATGTTTATTTTACAGTTGTCCAAATAATGTTTCATAATTATTAGAAATCACCGCGAATTGTGAACTATATGGTTCTTATCATCGCTTGAACTTGAAAATGCACCACACCTTTTTCTTGCAATGTAAATAAATAACAATTCAATATTATTTTATCTGTTTTAGGCGGTTCTACTCAAATATATTCGAGAATCCGGAAACGATTTACCAATGATATTTCGAATTTAATAAATATTATCAACAACCAAGAGAAGCACCTAGTGATGAAGAATGACGACGCGATTGATGAACATCTAAATTAAGTATATTTTGATGTGCATAATATGCTTATAATGTGTTATTTCCAGTATTAGGTTTTAGGATGTACTTCATATTCTAAAAATATAATCTAAATATAATATTTAATGTTCTCGTGCTATTACTGTTAAGCGTTAATTTAGTAAGATATATTTGACAACGTATTAACGGAATTGCAAATTATTCTTAGTTTACTATTAAAAATTTTAGTTCAAAAAGTGTAATTTGAAGCGCATTTTAAAGAATATTATCGGTTAATGGGTGTTTAGGAATTTTAAATCTTACATAGAACCAAATGTATACAAGAACAGTCTCCAATATACATTGGATGGGTTGTGAGGAAAAGTTCAATGTAGTGGCAGTATAATCACTATAAAGTCAGTATAAGCACATTACGCCCACTAAATTCAGCACAATTTTAGTAATGATGAATCATGAAAAAGAGCTTGAAGGAGAATAGTGCAGAAAAAAAAATAATTTATACCGGCGAATAAATTAAGATTAAACTCGAACAATTCTTTAAAACAAATTAAATATCTTGTGATAAAGTAATAGTGAATCGAGTCAATATCATGCCAATCCAATGACCAACATTTAAATATATTTTCCTTCGCGTCTCGCCGAATTTTTTTTGCATTTAACGAGTTTACTTATTATTCTAAAATTCAAAGATTCCAAGATCTTTTTAGCATATTGTAGAGCGGGTTTGGATAGGCATTGGATTCACGTTTTAGTATTTGCTAAATGCACATAATTATGAGATGTTTTCGATATTGGACGTTTAATAACGAGAAAGTAAAACACAATAGCCTTTGAAGACTCCAAACAAGAATATCTGATTCAACCTTCAATTTGGAGTAATAATGATAATGAAAATTTAAGAAGATAAATTTTCTAAAACCGAAACGTTAAAAAGTCAAATGATTGTCGACACTGACTCACCCTGTATATAATTAATTTTAGAAGTAATTATAAATTTTCTATTCATCCAACTATTGTAATATCACAGTTTTCGAAATTTTCATATTTTACCATATACCACGTTAAACATATTCAAAAATGTTATATTTGACAGAGAACATGAGGAGATCATTCGAATCCGCAATGTGTTTTAACGATACAAAATGGTCGGATTTTCATCACAAACTCGAACAATTGAATCACACTGAAGTTAAATAATCAGTAAAGTTTATAAAAACTTGTACACTTAAACGCTTCGTTCCGAAAGTAATTTGGGCGTTGAGATTTCTATTCTTTCAATCTTAAGAAGCAAGCTTAAAATCTCATAAATTATCACTTTTTATTAAAAGGTGCATTTTTGAATGTACTTGTTTTAAAAAAAATTAACTCACTTTACTTCACTTAACGGGACAAATGTTTTAACAAAGAGTGACAAGTTTTTTATAGCATGGGGTTTTTCATAAATTTAACAATACTAAAAAAATTTCGATGCATGTACGAAGCACAGATATTCATTCACGAGCATACGTTTATAGAAACTTTTGATCTAAAATAATTTGAACACTGTAATACACAATAGAATCAAAATTAAGATTGTAATCTTTGTCTTCACTCTGCTGGCAAGACTTTTTTAATTAAAATTATTATTGAATCTAGGAAGTGTGAAACTATATGTGCAATATCAGAAAAAATCGTCAAATCAATTTTGCAACAAATAAATGAATAAATAAATAAATAAATACATATAAGCACAATGTCAAAATATGTTCACAACTGAACGGATTTTCGCCATAGTTTGGTATTGAATTACAAAATAATTTTAAATTATTCTTTCCGTTTCCCTTCGATTTTTAAATAGACATTTTACAAAACGAATTAATATTAGCGAAGTGCTGCCCCAATTACATAATTGATTGACATCCTCGCCTCTATCCAGCTTTTAACTATAAATCACATTACAGCCATCAGCAAGGCGGAATTGCAAGATAATATGGAAAACATTGAGCAATTAACTTAATTAATCCGCATTTAATACATTATAATATTAGGAATAAAGTTATACAAAAGTCATGTGGAATTTAAAAGGAAAATGACTACGTTCTTCACAAAACAATGACTTGCAAAAATAAAAGTGAGTACAACATATCTTTTTACATAACTTGAACCAAATTGAAATTACTTTTTAATCGAAATTCACCCACTATACATTTTCCATTTAAATATCCAATGTCTTCTTCGGTAGCATTTTATCCCTCGGTTGCGTACTGATATCTACAGTTATACCAAAAACTAACCAAATTAGCTGCAGGTGTCTCCGATGATGTAGGCTGGTTGACTTTGGTGGGTGTTCTTTGTAGAGCAGGAGAACCTATCATGAACAACTTATTTAGACAGTGGCATGCGCATCGCAATGTGCCAAAAATGCTCATTATTTTCTCAGAATTCTCGATTCTCATTGACGATATCAAAACTGTTTAAACCAAGACGAGTACAGAACCTACCCTCAAATAAAATTTAAAAAAATTGCCATTAAATGAGTATTTTTTATAAACACATAGATATTTAAACTTGAGGTTAAGTTTCATAATCGAATATAGACAACATGCAATTAAAAAATAATTTAGCAATAATCATTTGTATTTAATTATCTGGTATTATTGGTGAATATCATATCAAGATTGAAACATTTTAATAATGATTGGTAATCACCAATCACTAATAAAGAAGAAGATACATGTTGTCCATATTTTGTAAACTAGTGACTTACCTTTAGTAGAGCCCCATATCAAGCAATTCCATTATAAGCAGATCCAAATTTAAACTTACCTTTTTGATTAGGGTATGACATGTGAATCGGTGAGAACAATATAAAATATTCCACTTTTACTAAATAATTCCAAAATGTCATTTCGAATTTTGAACAATTTTATGCGTAGCTTTTCATACAAATATAGTCCCAAAACGAAAGGTAAATAGTCTCATTCAGGTTGTAAATCTTATATGAATACTTTTTGAATTCTATGACTTTCTAGTTTCGAAATAACTAAATTAGATACCAATTATATTGAATACAATTGTATGATTGAAGAAAATTGGGCCAAACATCAATAATCAATAATAATTACCATAAAATGATTCTTGTCTATATTGAAAGTTTTTGAATTTATTCAAACAATAAATTATAAAATAAATAGTAATTAAAATTAAAAAATACTTCCAACTGAAACAATTATAATTCTACAATTGTTATAAATATGTTGCGATGTTTGATAGCATCCAAAATTTACCTTTATATGAATGCACCAAGTTACTGATTTAAATTAAATATATTTTTTACCGTTTCAATGCAATAAACCAACTTTTGACATACAGTTGCAAAGTAGATGATAAACAATTGTTTCTGTATCCAATTCTTGGACAAATATTATGTAATTCGTTGTTAACCGAGTTCAACCGAAAGTGAAACAAATAAATAAATACAAGCGCTATTTCTTTTCCTAAATCAGCTGTTTTGTATATCAAGTCCCCCGTCATTTTTATTAAACTCCTTATAAAAAACCGATATGTCCTCTTTGCTCTAGTTAAAATAATGTTTTTCGAAATCCTGATCAATTCTGATAAATATTATTGGCACATTGCAAAAACCTTCAAATTGCATAACATCTACTGTACCAACCTTTTGCGACTTGGGACTGCGCTCCATTCGTTTGCTGAATAGGTGTGCTTTGCTGCTGTATTTGCTGATGTATCGGATTATTTGGATCAGCCAAGTCAAACAAAGGCTGAATCACTTCAGGGGCAAATACTTGATTCTTTTGCCACAAATTTAACACTCTGATAATTTTGCTCTGTAAAATTCAAATGTGTTAGATATATATGTTCTTGTAAATCTATAGCAATATTTTAATGTTAGGCGCCAAAATCAGACTCTTACCTTATCTTCAGGGGGACATTTAAATAAGTTGACAAAAGTCTGCTGCAAACTCTTCGAAAATCTGGGTGCAAAAACATCTTTCTCAGCACCAAACTGGTGTCTAGACTGTCTCACTATCGAATCGATCACATAAAGACCAGGTACTTTGTATTCTGGCTTACATTTGAGAATGAATTTTTCTACACTCTGGACCACATGTTTGTAGAACTTAATAGCTTTTATAGCTCCTCTAGTTAGGGCAGTCATTTTGGCTTTTGATATTGGAGGCTTCACTTCATATAAAGCTGAAAGCTGTAACAAAAACGTTGGTTGTAGGAACAGAATAATAAATAGCTTAAATATAATATTCTAGTATTTACGAATAACTAAACCATAACTCAACAGTATCCCTTTGGAATACGATCAGAAAATACATCCTCATTTAGCACCTGTTGTTCGATGCGTAAATTCACAAATGCAACATATAAAACTAGAAATGATAATAAACTGTAGCACTACAACCCTGGGTGGGTCTTGGCTGCTTGAACCACCTCTCTCCACCGCTTGTCTAGGATAACATTTGCTAAATAAAACTAGAAAGGATTTATATAAGCTTTTAATACTTTATCAGATCTGGTACGCTCGATTTGTAAGCATAAAATATTATAATTATTATTTTGTAGAACGAACTGAAGTTTATTCAAATGAAATCCTCCGAAAACTGTTGAGCTCAAAGGTTATAGGATACTAATTTTAAATATTTGTGATCCTTTGTAAAACTCCAAAAATATGTAATAATGGATTTTCGTAAAAATAATTAAAATAAAAAATAAAAAAATAAATAATAGTAAAAAATAAGAAATGGAGGGTTTACTTTCCGGTTTAGATGGTGTTCATCAGATTCATACGATACGGATGGATATAGACAGCCGCATTTGATTTTTAACCGTTCGAAAGAGACATTTAACTGTTCAGACAATRACATTGTTGCGTGATTCACGTCACGACATTAATATCATAATGTGAACGATCTTTAAATTGTAAATATTTACTTTGACAAGAACAAATAGAACAGAAGGAGTTAAATTTTACAGACTTTGGTGAGAATAACCAAATTAAATTGTTAAAATTGCAATTTTGCAAAAAGTTGCAATTGATAAAAATGTTCAACTGAATCGAAATGTGATTGCATCATCGAAATTAAAACAAGTATTWTTATTAATCGCGCGAAAWAAATGTATAAAAATTGAMTMGAAAATTTTACATATACAGGGTGTCCCACCGRGAACCACGGCAATCTAAAATTAGGAAAAATTGAGGGAAAGCGATTTAAAATATTTTTAAGATGCATACACKTCCGTAACAACTTGCTTATTTTAAATGTAACACCCTATTATTTTTCCCCTATTCGTTATTCTAAATATATTTCATGTATAACTAAGTCTCACCATGTTTGATATATATATTTGAAATTTTCTGTCAAAAATGGCAGATGTAGAAACTAGAATACTTATTAACTTTTCACATCAGAAAATTTGTGCTAGTTAAATTGAGTCGCATCTCTTGTTGAAAAGAACTCACTTTAATGGATTTTTGGTGACTATTGATATAAAATCATAAACTCCAATTTTCATGAATTTATCTTAAAAATAAAGGTAAGTTCGTATGTTGTTGTGACTGTCACAAAAGCGTTTTAAGTTCAAAATATTGTCAATTTAATGTTTCATATGGCTTCTTGCTGCGAATGACAGTGTTATGGACGACATTAATGTCCCCGTGTGAACGAACTTCAACTCTAATTATTATTTTCGCGACTTAAACGAACCAACAATTTTTGGAGTTACGAAAAATTTAGTATTTTCGCCAGAAAATTTTTCCTAACTCAAAAAGTTATTGGTCCACTTAGGCCGCGAAAAATTCCCTTTATTGGAATTTTCGGACACTAAAATCTAACTCGAATTAAATAACCCAAAATTTCTTATAGGAAAAATTAAAAATTCTTATAGAAAAAATCAGCAGGAATTTTTTTCACTTTGGTTCTGCCTTAGGTATAGGATATGTAAATTGAAATGTTTTATACTATCCTATATTCAATGAAATATGTTTAAAGTGTTGAATAGCATCCAAATGTATTAATATACAGGGTGTTTCATTTAAAATAAGCACGTTGATACCTACTTCCGGTATGACCGGAAGCGTATTTTTTTTACACGGTTTTCTAAAACGTTATCTCTGGTGCGAACGGCTACTTTTCTGGGTTTGCACGCAAAGTTGCATCAGCTCAATTAATTCAACAAAACTTGCTTATCTTGAAATATCCTCCAAAAATAAACACTAAACAGAGATATTGTTTATTTCCGGTTATAACTGAATTTCAAATTACCTCACTATCAAATTATAAAAAGGTCCAATATCGGACTCACATCAATAGTACAACTTAAAAAAATGTCACCAAAAACACTAAAGTTACATCTGAAGAATTGCACGAAAATAGAACGCGTTCTATTAGATAAAATTTATTGCGCAATACAAAATCGCTTAAAAAAATGCCTAAAGTGAACCTGTATGGGGGTGAAAATTGTATGCAATTCGACAGTTGCTGTACCGAATTGCGTAAGTGACAACCTAGCTTTAGTTTAAAAAAAATCGCAATTTGAAATAAATTAATAACAGCTTGATCAGTTTAGTATTTCGGCAATGAATTATTAAAGACATAAGAACAAAATCATCCGGTACTTCAAAAATGTATATGAATTTTTATCCTCAGATTTATTCAAAACACTAAAGTGCTTATATATTTAAATGAATCATTCCTAAATCCGTTCAAAACATGTTCACAAATTTTAATAGTGAGTACATACATATATGTATATGGGAACATAACAATGCGGGATAAAAAATGGCTGGTACTTAATAAGTAAAGCTTTTGCAATTTTTTTACTAATTTTCAAATATCCCGTTAGCATAAACAACAAATTATTTTACATCACTTTACAGCTTTTCAATGCCGTAAAACAAACAACACCATTAAATCAAATACTTTCACAGTCGTTCAAAAAGAATCAATAAGATAGAAATACATAGAATGTATTGTAGTTGATATTCTGTTAAAATGCTTAATATTGTATACAAAAGGTAGTTTTAATTATCCTTCATTGCTATTGACATCGAAAAAATAGGGATTATTTTATTTATTGTTAGTGAACATTTAAAGAAAAAAATAATTTTTTTTTATAAACTACCCTAACTAAAATCAAATTTGAGTTTTAATTTTTCCTCGTTTTTCAATTATTCTGTGCTTAAACCTATTTGAAAATAAAGTGTTAGGAACACAGCTTATACTTTTTCATTTTTTCGCGAGTACCATGCACTGATAGCCGCAATTAAGCCGCTGTTAGGATAAAAGATCTAAATTGAGTATTTCAGAACTGCATTTAGAACACTTCGGAACTGAGGGTACATAACAAACTAACAGATATTTTAAAAGGCTGTATTTAATTGGCATACAATTACATAGACAGGATATGTAAAAATTGTAGTTTTTGATATAGAGTTAGACGTTCGTATCGAACATCAAAATGCAAGAATAAACTAATATTCAATTAATTTAGTTGATTAAAGTAGACATATTATTTTAAATATTTGTAATGGTACCGTATTTAACGAATAAATGTTGACCTTTCAAAAAATTTGTTTCTAATTTAATAATGATGCAGAAATGAAAATGGATTCGATACCTCCACCATTAGTATCAGATGAACGAATTCCATAGAGTTGTTCACACCAGTAAAATTAAAATAATTTAAATAAATTTTCATTATGCAGTGAATCCCAGAAGTAATGTCTAAATGCATTTAAAATTCAGCGAACTGTTTTTCGGAAAATGGCAATTTTCTTATATCAAATTTATTTAAACAGGGTGGTCCAAAAATTATTTACGACCATCATTTTTTTTCAAATGGGAGCACCTGTTTTTGAACGATAGAAAGCAGAAGATAGATGCTTAAATAAAGAAAATAGTCAAGTCTTAAAGGTCAACTGTATGTATAAGCAAACACGTAAGTTGATACGTATTAAGATATAGTAAGGTTTTACTACCATTAATCATTACTATACACATGCAAAATCCTAAATGTATGTACTTCCAAATTCGCATTTTAGAGTTCTATCAATTCAATGTCATAAATTTGCCGAACATGAAATCTTTTATAAACAATTTGGTGTTTTTTACATTTTCTGGTAAATTAATAGATATAATTCAAACAATCCTAATATTAATTTTGATATGATTATACATAGTTATAGTTGAAATAAATCTCTTACTTTCACTTTAGGTAAGTATACTTAGCTTATCTAATTTTCGGACGCAATGTTTTTTGCGCATTTTTATTTTATTTTCTTTCTATTGATAAAAATAACTTCTGATTTCTTTCTATAAATTTTTTATTGCACATATTTCCTTTCTTTTATCGCCATTTATTTTATTTTTTTAATGCAACATTTTGACAATTTTCTAATTATTTGCAGTGCTGAGTGTTAAGGCAGGGTGGCTGTTTTTTCGCAATTTCCAGTCGACATTTTTGGAAAGGAGGTTTTTACCTCTGTTGCACTTTTATTAATATAATCACTACAAATAAATTTAAGAAGATAATTCAAGAAAAAATATATAATGACAAAAAATGGCACGGAGAAGTACAGTAATTGTAATTCAGTATTTTTCTGTAGGCATGTGGATATTTTACTGTTTTTTCAATACTAGAGTTTGAGAATATTTTTCAGGATGTTCATTTTTGGTTTATGGAAACGATATCGGGCTCATCTCGGTCAGGATTGCAGCTTCTTAAAGAAATTAGATCACAGAATTTGCTAACGTCCCAGTAATAAAAAACATCATAGGATGTTGAGAAATTAAACGCGACATTTTGATTAAACATTTACACTCAACTATATATAAATATTGCGAACAGTTTATTCAGTCTAAATAAACTATTCTTTTCCATGATGGTCCTATTTTTATATGTCAGACTTTAAGGGCATATTTTTACTCGAATACCCGAAAAAACTGTGTCACTTCAATTCAATTTTGTTTTTAATTACAAATCAACCTACTTTTTTAATGAGTTGTATTACTTTACAGTTTTACACTAAATTTTTAGGAAACTACTATTGAACATCGCTCAAATGCACTAATTTTTACACTTTTAGAACAAGTAAATACACATTTTATTTCTAACGAAAATTAGCGCATAGGAGCGAAGTTCAATGGTCATTTCATCAAAATCTTAAACGTAATAAGACTCATTAAAAAAGTCGGTGGATTTGGTCATGCACATGTATTGGAAATTTGGAATGACTCTAATGACTTTCCTGGAAAAGTATTGACTTCCAAAAAGTCTGAAGACGTTCTTTTTTACTTGAATATTACGTAGTTTCATTAAATGCTTCCTCAAAGTTACCTTATAAAAAGATTTAATTTGTTCAAGTTGTATACACGTCCCTAGCAAGTTTTTGTAAATGGTTTATTTCTAGATTTATTAAGCCTGTGAGGCTTAACATGGATACCGTTTCGTATTTTACCTGTTTTTAAGAAATAAAATAACAAGCATTTGTTGAAGGAGTGCAGTTTTAAGAGTGGTCCCTTTCTATAGTTGACAATTTTGAACCATCCTGTATATTACATTTCTGTTCTTGCATGTAGATTATGTCCTTAGAGTATCGTATAAAATTGGACCATTCTCTATATTTTTAATACGTATGTACGTTCTTACACGTTTTATTCAAAATAGTAAGACTAATACCCGAAAATGCAATTTTAAGTTCATGCAATTTCATAGTATGTTCTACATTAAAATGTTTGAAGAGTATTGGTAAGACATAATAACTTATGAACTAGGGTATTTGCAAAATATTGCTTAAATTCACATTAATATACTACATTTTCTTAATAACAGTTGCAATTAATTAAAATGTATAACATATCTTTGAACATTTTTCGAAACCGAAGTTTTTAGTTGTATCTAAATAAAGATTCAATTTCATTTGATGATCCAGAGCAAGATTTCTGTTAAAAAGAAGTTGAAAATGTGTTGAATGTCGAAAAAATTGAATGTAAAATTGAAATTTCTTGAATGTTGTATTTTCAAATTATCTTCTAAATCTAACTTCCCAATGTTCTCCCCACATAACTAAATAGATACCTCATATATTTTCATATAGGTCTTTCATAAAGATCTTGGCCTATGTTTATGTCATAGATATTTATAATTTAATATCAAATTATTTTCCTGTAAAAACTCAGATATATCATGTGATTGGCCATCATATTGATATAACATGTGATTAAAATTTGCTATTTGATATAATTTACTCAGTTTGGGCACGTTTCTTTTAAACATTACATGATGGCTGGACATCTCTAAAAGGTTAGGTTACAAATTCCTAAAATACTCAATCCTGTCGGCTTAAGTACCTTCGGGCCGTTTTAAACAGTTAGAAAATAGCTTAGAAGCTTGCATACTCCTATTAGGAGTAAAGCTAGGGAAATATGGATTTAATTTTTATTTCTCCGGAAAATAATCAATGGTCCAAATCGTTTGCGTTCAGTGTCAAAAACAAATTTACCTCCGCATTGAAGGCTTTCACAGCCTCCATGGTATGTATTTATGGCTTCTTTTCGGCTCCACTAATACACTGCACCTTCACGCATTCAATGTTTATTCTATTATTTCGCAATTAGACTTGGGGTAAAAATGGAAATCGGAAAAACGACGCCATTTTACAGGACACAGCGCAACATTAAATGTCACTAATGACGCAGATGACGCTAATTAGGGATCTTCTGTGGTGATGCTTGTGGCGAACTCTATCCGCGACTTCTCAAGTAGCAGCTCCAACCAAAACGCCACAGAACACCTCTGAAACGCCAGCTAAATCCACAAAATATCCCCCTGGGGGTATATTCTGTGGCTATATCTCACCCTACTGAGAGTCCCCTACTTGTCTTTATCTATATCTATATCTAAGGGTAGGCCCATAGAGAAAGTAAAATAAGTACTAAAAATTACTTACTCTATGGGTAGGCCCGGGACGAAATAGTATTGGTAAGAGAGTTTTTAAAGTCCGTGAAAATTTGTCTGCTGCAACACTTCCCAAAATGTGTTGATGGTTTCAAACGGAAAAGAAAAACGAAGAGATTTAAAACATTTTTGGGTAGCTTTTAATGAAAAAAGTTTTTTTGAGTATCTATAAATATATCTTTGAGTATTTAATAAAGGTAACAAAGATTTAAACAATAATTTAAATTTAATTTAAATAATAATTTTGTTAATTTTTTATTGTACATACTTTCCTGACTGTGTTTCAATTCCAAATCAAAATTCATTCCTGGGTGTCAGCCATTTCTTGTCTCTATTTATCAATCAAAATACGTTTCGGTGTATTTTTCCACCATCATCAGTTTTTCTAAAATAACACATAGTTAAAAAAAAATTCATTAATTTAAAAAACAACCACCGTTCGTCAACAGCCTCATCATATCACACATTAAAATACATCACAATAGCAATACTTTACAACATTCTAAAATTAATTAGGCCTAACAGGTGATTAGTCAGGACAATCAAATTTGGGAAGAGACTAGAATTCTTCGTTCAGATACTTAAATATTTTTACTTACATGTGTAGCGTTGTTGCTGCTTTAAGCCCTGGCATGCATTTGGAGTATTAATTTTGTCCATTATCGGACACAAAGCGAATAAAATAATGTTTATATTCATTTCTTTTACTTTCAGCTATTTTTCTTTGCATTCTGAGAATATTATTTTTGGTTTGCAAAATTCTTCAATATACCAGGTGTTAGTCAATATTCTATGTTTATTTCATTTAATTAATGTATGATATACTGAGCTAAGATTGTCGGTATCGATCTGAAATTCATAGCATTGTTATGTTTTTTCATCTGTATCATTTCATGGACTCTTCTCTTATTATAATTCCTCTCGTTAATCAGTATTTTTGTTATCAAAATCAAAATTATGCAACTTCTGTTGTGCATGCTGTGCTAATGCTGTACCATTTTCGTTATTTTTCTGAGGCTATACTTATGTTC